GAAAGGTAGCTGACAGCTTGTTAGCCTGTTTTTTTTTTCTGTCGGTGCCGAAGAAGGGACAATAAACAGCCAAGAGCCTCGGCTCTACGTCACACGGCCCGCCCTCGCCACGCTACAGTATGATGCTTTCAGGGTCTCCTCGGAAACTCCACGACGTGCTTGATAACTCTCTTTATTTTAAAATCAACAAACAGGTCAGTTTCGGGTGGCACTTTCCAGCCGTGATCCAAACAGCGGAGCCCACATTTGATTATATAACTCGTATTATTGTAAGAGACAGAAAACACAAAACAAACAGTCCTGTGAAATTATTGGGAAAGTGTTTATAGTCACTCTGGCGGCCTCTAATGGTGGCTGTATGGAATACAATTTGATGGGCAGAGCTGAAATCACTGAAGTCATCCCATTTTTTTTCACCCCATCTCTTTTTGTAATTCGTCTCCATATGTGTTACGATTTTTTGTTTACAGCCCTTCTGGTTGGTTACATGCAAAAAAAAAGTTGTTATTTTACATATATAGTCTTAGGGAAGCACAGTGGTGCAGTGGTTAGCACTGTCGCCTCACAGCAAGAAGGTCTTGGTGGTTCCAGGCCTCTTTGTGTGGAGATGTTCTCCCTGGGTGCCCCGGCTTTCTCCCACCGTCCAAAGACATGCAGGCTAGGTTAATTGGTGACTCTCAATTGCCCTTAGGTTGTTTATTGTGCCCTGCGATGGGCTGGCAACCTCTCCAGGGTGTACCCAACCTCTCGCTCAATGCCCGCTTGAATTAGCTCCACTCCCAAGCAGGTGTAGATAATGGATGGATGGATAGACAGCTAAGCCTAACAAGCAACATTATGTGTTTGGCAGACCAAATGTTGTTGTCCAAAGTTGTTGTCATGAGGGACTATGAGGTACTATAAACCGTTTTCACTGTTGCCTAAATAACCGCCAAACGCTGTAAAACAAAATCTTAGTGTTACAGATTGGATACTTGTGTTTATCTTATGATGTGTGTGGGAAATAAGCTGGATAAAAGTGATAAAATTTATTAAGATATGGAAATCTAATGGTTGAAAAAAAAAATCATAGTTGAAAATAACAATAATGGGGAAAAAAACAGGAATTGGTACACGTAACAAGCCCTCTAGCCATCATCTCGTGATGTTCAGCTTTCAAAAAAACATCTGTTGTTGACTGTTTGCTCACAAGAAGCCAGTATGATGTTGGTCCATACCACTATAGAAACCTGAACCTGAAACAGCCATTTGATGGCAGCAAGTACACAGAGTGAAGTTACTGCAACATAGGTTGTGCAAAGTAAAAAAAAACAAACAAAAACTGTATAATCATATCAAAAGAAATAATTACTGATGCTTGTATGTTGTATAATTAAAGCACTTCTGTAGCTGAGCTGTAGTGGCTCATCATGTCCTGCAGAGAGAAGCAGAGTGCCATATTTTTTTTTACTTGTTTGTGTGCGTTTTTATTTATTGGTTGATCTAACATTGCATATTAATACATATGTTAGCAAAAAGGCTATGTTTGATCTTTAGTCCCTGTTACAGTGTCATCCTTAAAAAAGTTATTGAAAGTTACTGTGTTAGCACCTATAAACAACAATGCCAGTGTACCAATTAAAACATGCAACATAATAGCACACAAAAGACATGCAAAGCAATTAAATGGGAAATGTTGATAGAAAACGGGCAATAAATAAAAGAGGGGCAATTTGTGGGTGTAACACAACATCACACCAAGCAACACACAGACAATTCACACAAAAAAAACCCATAGAATTACATGATGTTATTCAAAAGGCCAATAGCAGCAGGGACAAACGAGTTATTTAATCTATTGGTCCTGCACTTGGGCAGATTATCTCTGCGGCGCCCGGATGGAAGCAACCTGAACTCAGTGAACAAAGGGTAAATAGGATAAGCACGGCCTGACTGGACCTTCTTTGTGGCTCTGACTTTGTACGCTCAGGAGAGGTCACTTACATGTGTGCCTGCAATGTTACTGCACATTCCTTCTAACCTCTTCCTGTTATTATCAAGGTAAGTGGTCCAAACCAGCAAAATTAAAGAGAAGGTTATAACAGATTCATTAAAACAAGAATAAAAACATTATAATAAAGGTTGTGTCAACATTATTGTGTCAACATTAAAGCTTCTGAGCTTCCAAAACATGCACTGATGGGCCTCTGAACAAACATTCATTTGTCATTATACAACACAAGGTTATATAACCAAAAGAAAACCTCTAAGTTCCTTTATGCTACACAGAACTTAACATATAATTAAGTGTACATTAAAATATAGTGACGTATAAAATTTAATTAAATATAACACCGAAAACATCTCGCAGAGCATTTTTTAAATTTGCGTCTGGGGAGAAAGTTAACAGCAGCAACATGATGATAATATGGTTTCATCTTCACATAATAAAAGTTGGACCTTTGGGAAACAGAGTCCACCTTGACTGCGTTTGAGCACCAAGCATCATCGATGTAAGTGCGAGTCCACCTCCACTGATCAGTTTTGTGCTGCGGTCTGCCTGCCGAGTGCTTTATCCGGGATGTTGATGGGGCAGGTCTCTGTAAAGATGTGGGCGCCACAGTCACTGATTTCCGATGTTCGGCCAACATGAGTCCCATTTTGTCCAGACCGGACCTTTAGAAGCAGCCAAGAAGTCCAAGCTGGACCATAATAGCTTTCCTCTCCTTGGCCTGGTGCATCATGGTCCGCTGCTCTTTAATCCAAAAACCCCGTCTTCCTTTTCCGATGTTTTTCTGTCATAGGTGGGAAAAACAGATGAAAAACAAAGGAGCTACTGGCTGATACTCCAACAAAAATAAATCATAAATAACGTCAGAAGGAATAGGGAGAGGCTTCTTCCTAAAGTAAATCATAATTTCCTTAGTTTCAGACACATTTACATCCAAGAAGGAGCGTTTTTACTAAATGCACCCACTTCTGGAGCATGGTCACTACTGAGCAATTTCTGACCACGGGCCAGATGTTCATAGTCACTAAATCTACAAAGAATTTAAAATCGTTAGAGCAATGGTGTTCTCTAGAGAAATAAACAGTGATGTGGGCCAGCTTACACGGTGAAGGTTAATGAAGGTGCTGATTTAAGGAAGAGGTGACAATCATTGGTCAATATGGATCGTAACATTAGAAAGACTTGACAGTAAGGTGAGGTTGACTCAAAAATATAGACATTGTTCACCTCACCTCATGGTCAGGAACTACAGAAACAGTCAAAGCTACTCGTAACTCTTTCAATGTGCACATAAGTGCACACAAGGATAATTTAAAGACTGAAACAAGCCTGGAAGAAGCAAACGCTCAGTTCTTTCTATTAATCACACAGAGCCTGATATTTTAATGGATATTTACTTTGATTAATTTTGACAATACTCATAATATAACAGTAGTGGTCAAACCTAGAGCCAAGTACTAAACAGAAACACCAGAACATCACTGGTCAGAAGTGCACTCGGCTGTTTGGGGTGAATAAACACGCTTCAACGGTCAAATTGAATCTACCGTACAGTCAGGAGTTTGACTGCAAATAAAAACATAGCTACGCTATCTTGTCTCATCTGTGTGGGGCAGTAACACAATACTCAAAAATTTAAGTAACACAAAGTGTCAATTTGAAATTTAGTAATTACAATCACAGTAACTCATCCTTTACTTTGACATTTGGGAGTCAGCTGTCTGTCTGAGAGTTAGATGGAGGGTTAACACCAGTTTGCCCACTGTACCTTCAGACAGGCTGGACTTTCAAATGAGTGGCACTTTCCCACAGGCCCACCCGTCCCCAATGAGTATGACCTGCAGTCCATGTTCTGCTTTTAGATCCACAGTGTGGAAACAGGGACGCTCGCCTGCATTTAGATGGCTCTGAGGACAATTTCCTGATAAGGAATGTGGGGCAATTAACATCAGCAGCCTGGAGGACGTGGATTAATAAGGGAAGCCATTTAATCAAGGAAGAACAAAAGGGACTATTAACTATTCATCCCTCTTTACCTGCTGCACATGCTTTTGTACAAATAACCCCAAAAAGCTAAATACATTTTGTCTAGCCATCGTTTTAATTCAACCCAGGGGACATTCAAGAACAAAAATAACAACTAACAAATAACAAAAAAAGTGGTTTTAAAGTTATGCTGTTTATTTGTGTATCTTACAGAGTCGTTGTTGAATGTCCTTTGGATGTTGCTGGAGTGTCTGGTGTTCGTAGCTGTATCTCTGTGACCGTGTTCTGTCAACATGCTGCTGTTTTGGTCAGGTCTCTCTTGAAAAAGGGAGTTTAAAATCTCAATTATGTCATCTGGTTAAATAAAGGTTAAATAAAAATACAATAAAACAAAATAAGAAGGCCACTGTGCTTCAATAGTTTCAGAATCCAGTCTTTAAAAAGTTTCTCTGTCCATCTTGAAGTCTTCGAGGTCTGAGAACAGTTTGGCCATTCACTTTCTGTTTCTGCCTGTTTTCACACCCACTGCTGTTTCCTACACCCAAGGGTGGGACTGTGGCCTCCGACAGAAACACCAGCATGACCTTCCTGCCAGCATTCCAACACACACACACAAACACACACACAGCAGAAAGGCTTACATAACATGCATGTCAAACTACAACCCGAGAAACATTAGGCTAATTGAAGGAATAAATAATTTAAGCCAAAGCACTTAAACGTTTGTTTTCATGAATAAAAGGAGCACAGAGGGAAGGTGGATGAGAAAGAAATACTGATCTGTAATGATCTGGAAGAAAGCCAGAGTGAGCGAGCACACCTGCAGTCTGCAGAGTAAAAGAGAGAGAGAGAGAGAGAGAGAGAGAGAGAGAGAGAGAGAAAAGACAAGAAGGCAGAGAGAAAGATAATAGCAGAGCAAAGTGAAGAGAGAGGAAGAGGAGGAGCAACTGAGTAAATAGAATTACAGAGAGGCAGCGGAGCTCCACACACATCATTTAGTGGCTGTAAGGAGACAAGAGCAAGAGAGGTCATAAAAGGAGAAGGGAGAAAAGAAAAAAGAAAAACTAAAACGGGGAGAAAGAGAGAAGCAAAGAAAAGAGGGAAACTAAAGAAAAAGTGAAAAGGGCTGAGGGAGTTGTTGCTCGGCTGGGCATCCATCCAGCACACCGCAGAGACTTCAGCTTGTGGCCAAGTGAACGGACAAAACCAGTGTGACTGGGAGCCTACTGGGAGAGACTACTACTGAGCAGACTGCCGAGCACCATGGCTGACAACGTGAACGAGGAGTCAGATTATATCCCGGGGAAAGATGAGCTGGACTGGGGCTATGAGGAAGGTAGGCTGGTCCTCATGTGCAGGGATGCTGGGAAACATATGATGTTAGCTAGTATGAAAAGTTGAGGGTCCAGATGGGTTTTAAAAGGGGGTCTGAGCCCAAAACTGTGAGGTTTTTCAGTGTTGGCACATATTGTGGATGCCTGTACCCTGTATATTTACTAACTTACTCTAATACAAACAGCTTTTTATTAATGAAAGCTTTTTAATGTGAGGGTGATCCTTGTTCCTCTGCTGTACAGGATGAGTTTGAGCACTTTATATCAAAGCAACAACATTAGTTTGTTTGGAATAAATGTAACAAGGTAGAAGAAGTACAAGGCGTAGTCTGTGCTGAGTGCCTCAACATTAATTACAAAGGTGTAGCTAAAATCAAGACAAACATAATAATAATAAATAAAAAGATAAACACATGAAACTATTTATAAATGACAGTTTTGCTGTCATTAATTTCTTGAAACCACCTGCTCTGTGGTGGATTTAAAGGGTTCCTCCAGCATTTTACGATTGCACTTCTCTAAAGTCGGCCAACTTTAAAAAGAATGGTCAATCTATTTTCCAAACTCTATAGGATGTTTTCAGGCAGGAGATGTAACCTGATCCTTTGATTGCTCTATTCGGACGTCCCCGGGAGAGGATAGCCCCTTTATAGGAAAGAGAGACACGATTGCAACCTTCATAATGTCATTAGCATGCAGGCTATTGCTCCTAAACTGGAGAAATCCACCGGCTCCCAGTTATATTTCATGGTTAAGAGATGTCATAAAGCACTTAAATCTAGAGAAACTCAGGTTTGTACTTGAAAAGTTGGCGTCTCTTCCTGGACCATGCTGAATGTAACCTGTATCAATCAAATGTATCCTCTCGCAATCATTTATTTACTATCTGTCCTTCCCTCTCTGTTTGTAAAACACAAGACTTAACTTAAGTGTTTCTGTAAAACAAAGGTTTGGTCAAAATAGATGCAGCAGTGGCCTAGATTTTCTTGGATCCTACAATTCCCATAGTGGAACTCCCTTGTGTCTTTGATGGGAGGGGCTGCTGTTTCAGGAAGTGTTTCTCCCTATTCTGTATTGCCATTTCAAATATTTCTTTAAAAAACATTGTACTCTATATCCTGCAATTCCCACAAGCCTTGGCCACCATTGCTGATTTGCACACTTCAACAGTACAGTTTTGAACAAAACACGGTTGAAAGGGAAAACCGCTGATGTATGTGCCAATGGCCAATTTATGTTATAAATTCAAATATCAAACTGTCATAGTTATGATAAAATGAGTTCATTTAGTTTGTGTTGTTTCACTCTGTCTTCTTATATTGGTGCCTTTACTGAGCATCGAGGGATGCACTGTGATAACTGCACAATTCTTACTGTAAGTATTCTGATTTGTAACACTTTGTGTGCATGAAGTAGACGCTAATGTATGACTTATATTAAATATCACCCATGTCCTGTGGAAACCTTTTGTTCTAAAAGTGACGTTTCATAAGTAGAAGAATAAGTAATTGGATGTTTCACTGGCAAAGATGGTCTATTTAAACTTTCAAACATATTTTAATTGATTACACGCTGTCATCAAGAGAACCATTTTATCCCTGTGAGATTAAAGACATTCTGCAGGACACTTGTGATGTGAGGTTATAAAGTCTTTATTAGAATGGACTAATGAAATAATTGGCCTTCTGTTCTAAAAGTGATGTTTCATAAGTAGAAGAATAAGTAATTGGATGTTTCAGTCTATTTAAACTTTCAAACATATTTTAATTGATTCCCCTTTACGCGTTGTCATCAACAGAACCATTTTATCCCTGTGAGATTAAAGACATTCTGCAGGACACTTGTGATGTAAGGTTATAAAGTCTTTATTAGAATGGACTAATGAAGGAATTGGCTTTGGAAAGGACTACAACATGAAATAAGCCTCTAGCAGCAAAAAGTCTACACTATAATATGACAGGGGTGGTGATGGGGCAGTGGATAAGACACATACCTTTGGTGTGAGAGATCTGGGTTCAACTCCCCATTGTGACTGAATCTGCAACAAAGTACTCACAGTGCCAGATGAATGGCGGTTCCTAAAACCTGTAAATATTGGGAGTTTTAATGTGAAACTTCAGGTGAATCAGTTTGATTGATCTACGTGAGCGGACATGTGTCGGACCAAGGAATGCAGGAAAAAAATTCTACGCTTCTATGCCCGACAGGTCAAGAGTTATGAGCAAAAACATATAGTATCCAGTGTTTATAAATGCTGGCATTGTTATTTAAGACATAAAAGCTTTGGGGTTTACCGCTGACCAACGAACAGGAACAAGGTAACGAGGTAAAACTGTTAGCGGCGTAGGTTGGACCGACCACAAGCAGAGCAATCCAAGAGTCACAAGTCAGTGTTATCTAAAGTTATTATAAGAATTATTCACAATTTCCCTCAATCTGTCTGGGATTTCACTGTTTTAATAAAGCATTGCAAGTCCTCACTGTACTCATTGATTTGCTATCATTTTAAAATAGTAATCCAACTGTAATGGATTACTTTTCACTATGGATTTCTTCCCATAATGAAAACCAACATCAAGTCAACATAATAAAGAGACATGAACCTGTAATCCCTTTAACTGTAACCTCATTATAGATACATCTTCCAAATGTATTTGGCAGAATGCACTTACTGTTATTCAGAAAACCCATATTACACTTAATATCCGTCTGTCCTGCAACACTTTTGTTTAAAGATGAGAAATAATATCGATTTCAACTGATTCAAATAGCTGTGAGAGGGCTATGCTGCAGCTCTAAGCTACTTTCTGTTGCTTTCAGGTCACTGTTGAACCACAACAAGTTTTAATGATATGTAGCTAAATGAGTAGAGACAGGGGCAACACAATATTAGCACAGGAATATGGTCTTTCAATTGAATCTGTAATGGTTTTACACTTCCAGGTGGCACCACCTTTTGTCCCCCAGTATTTTAAATAATATCGTAGTCATAAGATAGTGGTGAAATTCTCCACAGAGTCTATTTAATTGACAGAGGCAGCGTTGTGAAGGAGTTTAAGAGACTTAACATAGCATGTGTTATTGAGCCCGGCCGAGGAGATACAGTGCCGGCATACATCACGTGAACACCTCAGATGCCACACCAGATCTGATGGATAACATCTGTTGATCCCTTTTATGTTTCTGTCTTCTCCCTTGTTCCTGTAGGTTTTCCCTCTCAGGTCATCTTTAACTGGCCTTAAGCTAGAACAACAAATCTATCTGATGTTTAGACTCCAGTGCTACATCATACTGGAATCTATTACTACCCATGAGTTGGACTCTGATCTGTGGAGTCAGTAAGTTCTTGTAAACATTCATGTAAGACTCAACCTTGTAAGATTCCCAGAGAACATTGATATCTGCCAGCTTGACGCCTGAGCTACTGTTTCTACCTTATCAGGACTGTTACATGAGAGAAATAACAAGAGCTGGACGGTCAGGCCCCCTATTAAGTTTCTTTAAAAGACAGGTTTTTCGTTGCTGGATGGTTTGCCTTTTCAGAATAATGGCTTTCTTGCTGATCCTGTGAGAGTTTATCTGGGTTTTGGAGATCCAATAAAACATAAGGTCCAATGAGGTTTTGATTGCATTCCTATATATAATAGTTTATATGTGACAGGTGGCTTCACCCCTCATTGCTTAGGCGTGAGTAGTCAGCCAGCGTGGAGTGTCCGTCTCTGCTGTGGTTGCAGAAGAAAGGCATACTGTGAGGAGTCGAGTTAATTCTCTTGGAGGCACACGGGTGTACTGAGCTTTCCCGAACACGATACTCACCAAATGTGTTTGTTTCCTTCCTTAAAAACACATTTGGGCTCCACACATCTTACAATGGTCTCATTGTGCTGTTTTAGTGATTGTGGTCAGCAAAAAGCTGAAGTGAATCTAGACCTGTGTGTTCTTTTCTTCACTTAGTATCACTTTCTCTGTGTTTCTTCAGTCTGTGTGAGTGCAAGAAAACATAAGCTGATAGCAAGTTTAACAATCCAAGCAAAAGTTTTTCACCTCCTGTTGTTCGGTCAAAAATGAAGATAATACAGTGTGTCAGCTTCAATTTATTTTTATTCACTTTAAACTCCCTTCTCTTCTCCCTTTCTCCTTTTCTCGCTTTACAGCAATTCTCTCATTGCCACAATCACAGCAACAAATCCTGTTCAGAGCAGAGAGGGGATGAACGGAGGCGTAGAGGGAGGAAAAGGCAAGGGGGGGGGGGTGGCAGGCTTATTTTCAGTCTAGACTTTAGAGAGAAGAATGGTTTGTGTTTGAAACCAATGTGTTACTAAAATGTCTCCCACACAACCACACACACAGGAACTGGCCTCGATATACATTTGTTCTTAGAGAGGATGATGAACATTGCAAGGTGAAGAAAAAAAAAAAGAAGGTGGTTGAGGGTCATGCACTGACAAAAAGTCCACTTTTAGTAACTTTTACAAGAGCTTTCAAACACATCTCACAGTCTTCATCACTTCATCAGGACAAACTTGCTTTTCCTGTTCCAAGGTCAAGAATGGACGTCCGCGCTCATTAGCACTTTACAGGAAACTCAAATTTACAACCCTGAATGTCTACACGAAAATTCAGTTTTGCTATTGTGCTGCACTGCCAGAAATGTATTTTACATTTTTAATTAATTTTAAGTGAGTAGAGAAAGAAGCTGAGCAGAAAAGCACCCCAAAAATCTACCAAAAAATCTTTAAAGAATACTGTAGCTTTTAAAAAAATAAAAAAATCACATATTTGTCATCTTACTTAAAGTGAACCAACACGTTCTCACTCCCCACTGGTCACATATTAACGCTTGGTCAAGGCCCTTTGGCGTTGCCTTTAACGCCCTGGGTACCATCCATCCATCGTCAACCGCTTATCCTGCGTACAGGGTCATGGGGGGGCCGGAGCCAATCCCAACTGACATCGGGCGAAAGGCGGGGTACACCCTGGATAGGTCGCCAGTCCTTCGCAGGCGCCCTGGGTACCCCTTTGTGTAATTTTTAGACATTTAAGGCTCCGCACTCAAGTTAGGAACGCTTAGCAACAACAAATATTTATAAATATGCAACTTCTGGTTAGACTTTCAAAAATAAAACGCTAGCGTTTCGAAACGGCTCGTTGTTAAAGTCGTTAAAGAAACGTTGGAATTTGGTTAGGTTTAGGCACAAAAAGTACTTGGTTACGGTTAGGAAAAGATCATGGTTTGTGTTAAAATAACTTCGTAGGTCAGTGAACACGCAAGTCAATTTACGTAACTCATGTAACTTAAATAAATATTATACAATGCTGACTTTTTGTTTCACAAGGGACTCGGTCTCCTGGATCAAAGTCGGGGTTGTGGCCCTCCATCCACCACGACCTCCTCCTTCCTCAGTTTTTTCTGTTAAATATCATATACCTGCCTTTAGCATCAAAAACCGACGCTACAGGGCTTCCCACACTGCGTTGAACTGTGACGCTACAGGGATCCCCAGTGCGCTACAAACTGACGCCAATGGGTCTTGACCATGCGTCCATATGTGACGAGTTGGGAAGTGAAAACGGGTTGAGTGAGCATAGGAAAATTAATCAGTTTTGTCCATGTGTGTTTAACCTAGCAGTATAGCTCTGTGACATGTTTAGACTAGCTTAACACAGAAACTGGAAGCAGGTGGAAATAGCTAGCCTAGCATTGTTAGCGACTACAAAGCATAGACAATGTAGAAATGTTTTATGAATAAAAAAACTGAGATATTGTGATTTAACAAGTTTAGATTGCAAACATGATACAGCATATAATTTTCAGTTAACAGTTTTAGGACTGTTTGTTATTTTTTCATCAGCATTTGACAGAAGCTAGCAGTTTCCACCCGTTTTCTGTCATTCTAGCAAGCTATATGCTAAACATACAACAAACACAGAACTATATAACTAATAACTGAAATGAAATTGATATTTACCTTTTTCATTGCAGACATGTCATAGAACGAAAAGCACAAGTGTAATTGTAAAATATGAACAATATTCATATTATCCAGTTGATGGCAGCCAGGTCCACGGCCACAGTTTTGTTAATTTTCTTTTTAAGCTTTTGGGTTGTCCATTGGCCCGCGACCTTGTACGCAGGATAAGGTTTTTATTGTTTTCCTTTGAGGAGTTCTCACTACCAGATATGGAGAGGCAGAACATATTAGAGTATAAGATTATTGGCACTTAGGTTAAGGATCTGAATACTTTCTCCACAAGAACGTGCATGGCTAAATAAAAAAGAATAAAATGAATGATTGCTGGTTAAATTCCATTTAACTGTTAAGGTTTAAATGTCCTTGTGCATTCTGGCTCACTGTCATGGCTTACTGGGATACTTGAATGAAACAGAGCTATCTTTAATGTTATCAGTAACACGTGTGCTTTTCTTTCTTATTAATGTTAAAATGTCCACTGTGAAAAAGGCTCATTACTCCAGTGTATACTGTGAAGGCTACTTATTTAAGGAAAGCCGCAAATTAATATTCAGTGTTGGGAAGGTTACTTTGGAATTGTAAGAGGTTACCGATTAGAAGTTGTCCTATTTTAAAAGTAACAGAAGTGTAAGTATTTCAAATACTTTATCAAAGTAACTTATTACATTTTATTCCTCTTTGATTACTTTTCTAAATTTCTAATGAATATTTTCAACTGTTAACCATCATTCTCATGTGAACCAATTAAAAGCATCAGAATAGGATCAAACTTCACAAAACGGCTGTGGCTGGAAATGGCAAAGGAAGACATAGTGCACATGAAAAAACATGCAGAGCAACAAAATGAATATTATTCAACATATAGCCGAGCTTTTTAAAGAAAATATTCAGATGTAAACCCCGCTGTTATCATGAACATTTACACAACTAATTACACATTTTTTCCTAGTAACAGATTACAGTTACTTTTATTTTGTAATTAAATTAAAAGCCTGTCCCTTTCACTGGCCTAATGTGGCTACACAGTTTGAACAATAAACACAGGTCTCAATAAGATGCCTGGTGAGGTGTTTATAGAGCCCACAAGGTCACCTGCTTGAGTTACTTCTAAGCTACTTAGATCGCACATACAAATATAAATGTTAAAACGTTTGTCAATAGGGGCATGCTACACACAACTTAAGATCGGTTAGATTCTCAATTCAGTTAATTTTATGGAAATTATTAGAGATTTACCGGTATAGTAAACGAGAGATGGAAAAAAGCAATAAGTAATATACTGGTTGGGATAAACAATTTGATAGGAGACTATTTTCCACCTTTGCTGAGCAAGAGTTTTGCATGAAAGGAATTAAAGGCCCACATAGACGCCTGTCTCAAATATAGGCAGGGCAACTAAAGTTTTAAGGTATGTGACTAAATGACAAGTAACCAGGTACTTCCCAACACTGTCAATATTATATGCTAAGACATGGACATGTATGGTACGTGTCATGTTTCTGTTTTTTACTCAGGTGTAGAATGGGGACTCCATTTTCCAGCAGCGAATGGCGAGTACCAGTCTCCCATTAACTTGAACTCCAGGGAGGCTCAGTATGACCCGTCCCTCCTGGATGTCGGCTTATCACCGAACTACGTGGTGTGTCGAGACTGTGAGGTCATCAACGACGGACACACTGTCCGCATCATACTCAAGTCCAAGTCAGGTGACTAACAGCAACTTGTCAATACTTACCACTCTTTGATATAAGAAGGCAGGATGCGTGTTCTGTTTTTTCAGTCACTGTGGGTTAGTGGTGAGTGACACTTTCATGCATTTTAATGTCATCCAACCAGCTGTGATGACCCTTCTCTCATTTTCACTTTCACGCGTCTTGTGCTTCCTGTGCTGTTGCCAGTTGTCACCGGTGGTCCTTTGCCTAGTGATCATGAGTATGAGCTTCATGAGGTTCGATTCCACTGGGGCAAAGAGAACCAGAGAGGATCAGAGCACACTGTCAACTTCAAGGCTTTCCCGATGGAGGTAGCGCACACACAAACACAAAAAGGCCATGACCATGGAGTGGAGTGCACTTTCAAACCAGATCAACGCCCTCTAAAACAGACTACTAAGCTTTCATATGCTTACACTTCTGGCATTAACGTTTGTCCTTCAGATAACTTCGTAGGTTGTTGAGTCCCTGAAGACCAAACCTGTTTTATCTTGTCTAACAAGAAACAAGCTGGCTTTGTATGAGTTTGTGTGTCAAAGCAACCTTTAGGTTTGGTTGTGTCCATCCACATGTTTGTTAAAGTTCCCCTCCCCCCTCAAAAACATGTGCATGTTTATGTCCCCTAAAATGTCAGACCTTGACTTTTGAGTTGCGTCCATGCAAAGTTTGTCACTAGTAAGGTGTCTTCTAAAATTAGACACTTTCATCTCCACATCTGCTTTTAGTAAATCTCTTGAAGACATTTTTTCCAGGGGTCTGGAGTTGTTTTTAAAAGCTAAGTGTTTTGACTCTAAAAATCCTTGTGGCCTGTTTTTTAACTCACTCATAACTTTTACACTGTGTTCCTTAGTGTTTTCACCGTGGTCCTGTTTGTTCGTATGTTGCCCTTGCTGTCCTGCTGCCTATTGTGAAATAATATAATGAGAATAATCTTTATTTAAAGAGCACTTTTAAAACCAATGTTACAATGTGCTTAACATGAAGCAGGTAAAACATAAAAACCGGTAAAACAACAACAAAACCAATTTGAGAAAATAATACTTGTAGAGGATTATCCATCCATCATCAACCGCTTATCCTGCGTACAGGGTCGCAGGGGGAGCTGGAGCCAATCCCAGCTGACATTGGCCGAAAGGCGGGGTACACCCTGGACAGGTCGCCAGAAGGATTATCAAAATATCCAAAATAGGTTGGGCGCCAGAATAAACATAATCCTAAAATGTCACTTAAAACGGTCAATTAGTAGGATATTCGCTACAAACATACACCAATAAAAGAAAACCACCAAACACTAATTCAATCACTCCAAATAAAGTTGATTGTATTCAAAGTCAAACCACATAGTATGCAAACACAAAATCTTACATTTCCATTAAAGCAATAAAAGAACCTTTCAAAATATATCATTCCTATACAAAATTAAGTGCACAATTCAAATGATAAAGAAACAGACTAGTCCTCCAACATGCCACTGTGTGTGCGCTCAGAGGTGTGTGTGTCCAGGGGAAATTAGGCAGTAAAGTCCATCGAACTGAAAATGTAGCAGTTCAGTTTAGTTCATTTGAGTTCTGGTGAGAGAGGGTGTAGGTGTGTAGTCCAGTTCAATGGGAGGCAGAAGGTAAGGTCCTGCCTACAGCTGGGCAGGAGGACAGAGTAGCCTGGAGAGTTACAATAGGGAAGACTTAGCTTTGCCGTGTCCACCAAGACAAGGAAGCTCCAAGCTGCAACAGAGCACGTTAACATGGTTGTTCATACCTGCTCCAGGGTTCAGCACGGTTTCCTACAGTCGTTTGTTGCTCATTTAAGTTCACAAAGTCTGGACAGTTCTTGGTTCCACTGCTTCTCCAACACTTCTGCATGCGTCTTAATTTCACTCCAAGGCCAGGATGCCTCAAAACTGGGTTAATTCAACATACTTCCTCTAAACTTCTCGCTCCTCTGTTCTCCTCCATGAAATGTTTGTCCTTCCCTTCCCCCCAGCTCACAGGTGCGTAATTTATCTCCTCCTGCTCAAACCACACCCCTAATCAAAAGCAAAAGGCCCACTCTGACACTCTCCTGCTACATACTTCAAATAAAATCATGTAGAATCAGGGAATGCTCTTCGATAGGAGTATATTTTAACAAGTTCACTGATTGAGTCGACTTAAATTTCCTCGGGTAGATTATTCCAGAGCCTCGCTGCCCTTACTGCAAAGTCTCTGTCTGCTCTCGATTTCTCTGGAACAAATAAAAGCCCCTTACCCAAGGATCTCAACAACAGAGTACTAGTAGGTCAGCAATATAGCAGGGGGCAAGACCATGTAAAGCCTTAAATGTAATCAGTAAAGTCTTAAAATCAATTCTAAAACATACGTGTTTGTATTCATGTTTTGCTAAGTTTATGTCTCTTGGGGGGGAACCTTAACATTACACCGATAGCTTGAAAGAAGAGTATTAGGTCAAACGGGTTGGGTTAAAATTTGGTCAAAAATTGTGAAAGTGAAAAAAACATCTTAACTTTAAGTCCAACTGACATGAAACCTGCTATGCAAAGCCAGCTTTTTAAATAAATAAATTGTTCAATATTTTGGGCAGTAAATGTATTCTCTTTCTACCCAATATTTAAAAAGAGAAAATCAACACCACTCTCATGTCTGTGCAGTTAGTACGGAGCTTGAGCTGGAAGTGATTAGCTTAGTTTAGCACAAAGATATATATATATATCTTTATGCTAAGCTAGGCTAATAGCTTCTTACTTAAAGCACAAACATGAGAACGGTATCAATCTTCTCAACTCTTTCCCAGAGGGAAAGTAAATAAGTGTATTTTCCGAAATGCTGAACTGTTTCTTTAAAGGTCACCATTTTGAACTCAGATGCAGTCTCTCAGATGGAATGTCCTGACATTAACATCTGGCATTTAGTTCACAATGAAGATCAAAACTGAAACCTTGAAAAGGCCAAAATTGCTACTACACTATGTGACATTACTGAGTCAGTTTGATGACTCTTCTTCTCTACCCAAAGTAGAGATGTAGAGTTGAGATACCCACAGTTACACTGCATCTGAGCAGGCCACAGATAAATATTTAAATATTTTTTTATAGTAAAACGAGAAATAAAGAAATGCTTGTCTTTATCAGTCCATGAAACATGTTTGTAGTCCTGTTTAACTCACTCTCTGTCGGGTTGCCTGATGATGAAGACTTTAGAACAGCTGACACAAGATGATCTTGGATAGAGAAGAAGAAATTCAATGTTCCATTATGCTGTAATTGACCCTTCGCCAAGCCATGCCTCCCCTTAGTTGTCGGACTTTTAGCACTAATAGACAATAGTAGACAATAGCAGCTGTAATAGACTATAGCAGCGCCGGGAGAAATATTGTACAGCTCCTCAATCAAATACGATTTTAAATACGCCTAGTAAAAAAAAAAGAAAATCAATATGTGGCCGCCAAAAATAAATCAATGTGTGGGAAACACTTTACTACCACCCTCCTTCTGTGGAAAGAACGCCTCTCTCCCTCGTTCTCCTTTCCTACTTTAGCTTCTTGGCTCTCAGCGGACATGAACAACAGAAGGTGCGTTGCCGCTGAGCTGCCGCACAGTCACGCATTCACGTCAAGGATGGTGCGTTCAGTAACGCAGCGTTACTTGGACTGGTAACTGTAATAATATTACTGTTTTAGAAATTCGATTAGTTACACTACTAGTCGGTGGGAAAGTAATAATATACAGTAACGCGTTTCTGCCCAACACTGGTGAGGACTTGGGAGTGAGAACGGGTTGGTGGAGTTAGGCATGGTGGCCGCCTATGTAGCAAGTCAGACTTTATCTAAGAATAGAAGTTTTACACTCCTTCTCCCTGTTCACGTTTACTTGACATGAGAGGCCATACAGAAAGTCAGTCACCCCCAGCTGATGGTCTCTCACTCTCTTATCACTGTTCCTTACACCTGTTTACAACAATGGCCTTTCAAACACAGGTCGTGTTGTCTCTCTGTTTGTCTGTAGCTCCATCTAATTCACTGGAACAGCACTCTGTTTAACACTTTGGAGGACGCTCTTGGGAAGAAGAATGGAATCCTCATCATAGCTCTTTTTGTTCAGGTAAACATCCATATCAAAATACTCTCAGCCAAGCAAAATAGCTGATACCATTTTATTTGCTTAGGCTAAACTGCCGTGACTGGACTATAAGATCAACTTTATCTGAACGCCACAGCCTGCTCAGTTTTAGTTTTAGTCAACAACCCCTCTGGTATGAGAAACCAGCTACAGCATGCTGGCTGCATGTTGTGATCGCTGGCAGCACAATGCTTAACCCACCAAACCACACAATCATCCCCCGCTACAAAACATTACAAAGCAACAAAACATACACTCATTGGCTAACACCGTCAGCTAGCAACATGTTAAGATAACTATAATTGCTGCCATGACTGGCTTTTAAGGAATTTAATTGCCTTTTGACAATGATCATTAGCTTTACTTTACTCTGTATGTCTTGTTTATTGCTGTATATTGAAATAATAAGAACCTACAAAGTCCTAAAACAAATTAAAAAAATAATTCTGATAATAATTCTATATACTTAATATTAAACCCATGCTCATCTCTCACATACGTTTCTGTATCAAATCCATTTAGTGTGACAGGGAAAAGTGTTGAATTAATTGACATGAAAACAAAGCAAATGTTGGAACAACCTTGTTTCAATAAGGAGAAAGTTTGAATTAAATATTTACAAGTTTATTCTCCTGTTGGCTCTTTGCACAGCATAATATACAACTCGCATATCAGAACACATTTGACACGTATATTGTGAGATGTGTTTGACAGATTTTGCTATATAATAATAACAGTTCTCATCTTATCAGGTACACATAGCCATGACTAAAGCAGTTCAGTACAACAGTCCTATAAATAAACAAAATAAATAAATTTCATTTTCAACATTTCAATTTTCCATCCAATTTTTATCACTTACACTAAATATAAACTAAAGGCAATACAGTTCTCCAGCAGCACAAGCTGCAACCTCCAAAATGAAAGTGAACTTGAATCAACACCTCTCTGGGGGAGGATTGATTAACTTGAGAGTCATATTTTGGAGCAGAACATGACGTGAGTGCTTGACGACATATTTTGTCAACGGCCTTAAATTGTTTTTCCTTCCTGGGATTGTAAAGTGGTATTTTTTTTCTAAATGAGATTAAAAGGGTAATTCCGGACTAGCGTGAACCATCCTGTGTAATATTAATTTGACACAAGTTGGAAAAACACAGCTACATTCCTATGTAATGCCCTAATTCCTTCACTTCATGTCCAGTTTCCCAGGTGGCAAAACTCTTAAGATTGTATAAAGGTTAATGCCAGTTTATTGAATCCAATCGAACCTCAGAGAATAACCTCACTTTGAGTCACACCAGCTGAGGGAAACTACCCCCGTGACAAAACACCAGCTATCAGTCTCCTTCTGGTTTTACCCCAGACAGCCCTGACCTCCTAAGGCCAAGCAGAGTCAACCTCACACGTCCTGTTTTTGACAGCTCTTCTAGTTGCTGCTTCCTGTTTGTTTCCTCTAAGGATGCAGCAGAGATAAACTAAAATCTTAAAACATTGTGGACGTCTTTTAGACAAGCACTCATAACAATGCATACCCTAATCCTGAGATATATTAATCATTCCTATTCCTACCACCGAAAGACGATAATGTGATGTGTGTTTTAACTAGATTGGTAAGGAGCATCTGGGTCTGAAGGCCATCACTGAAGTTCTGCAGGACCTGCAGTACAAGGTGAGAATAAGACTGATTACATGATCATTTATTATATCACATAAATGTCAGATGTTTGATCAATAATCACATAATTAAACATTACTATACTATATAATTACTGTTATGTTGCTGTATTTCCATCAGGGGAAGAACAAGATAATCCCCTGCTTCAACCCCAACACTCTGTTACCTGGTGAGCAGAAAACAATTAGATTTTGCCTTAGTTGACTCAAGATGTGTCATCCTCTCATCAGTTCATTCATTCTTAATATCAGCTTGTCCTTAATCACAATCAATAGTATCAGGATCAAATACTGTTGGTGGAAAAAGAAGATTTTGACATGGACATCTTATCCTTTCAAATCCATTATTGAATCTTTTGAGCTAGATTGTTTAGTTGGGAATTAAGAGATCTCTTAAAAAGTATGTACTATTTTTATTTTACTCAGGCTCCATCCACACTACTGCGTTTTCCTTTTAAAACAGAGACCTTTTGCGTATATTTTGTACAGTGTAAATAACACTTGTACCGCGCATGTCGCCGTATTTACTCTGCGACCTGATATAATGAAATAATTATCATGCTATTTCCTTGGTAGCCTTGGTACTGACGACATTAAGTCATCAGACATTATCTACATTTTTTTGCAATTCGGCGCCAACAGTGGTGGAATGTAACTAAGCCAATTTACTCAAGTACTGTACTTTAGTACAAATTTGAGGTACTTGCACTTTACTATTTTATGCCACCTCATACTTCTACCCCACTACATCTCAGAGGCAAATATACAGTCCCCTAGTAAGTATTGGAACAGTAAGGCAAATTCCTTTGTTTTTGTTGTTCACTGGAGACATTTGGCTTTAAGATCAAAAGATGAGTCTGAGACAAGAGCTCAGAATTTCCTGGTATTCACATCTAGATGTGTTAAACAACTCAGGACAAACCACCCTTTGTTTGAACCCACCCATTTTTCAAGTGAGAAAAAGTAATTGAACAAATAATCATAAAGTAAATAACATTTAATATTTGGTGGCAGAACCCTTGTTTGCAATAACTGCCTCAAGCCTGCGACCATCACCAAACTGTTGCATTCTTCATTTGTGATGCTATTCCAGGCTTTTACCGCAGCTTCTTTCAGTTCTTGTTTGTTTTCGGTGTGTTTCTCCCTTCAGTCTCCTCTTAAGGAGGTGAAATGCAGCTCTATTGGGTTAAGGTCAGGTGACTGACTTGGCCAGTCTAAAACCTTCCACTTTTTTCCCCCCTGATGAAGTCCTTTGTTTTGTTGGCAGTGTGCTTTGGCTCATTGTGCTGCTGCATGATAAACTTCCTCCACATTAGTTTCAATGCATTTCTCCGTAGACTGGCAGACAAAATGTTTCTGTACACTTCTGAATTCATTCTGCTGCTACCATCATCAGTTACATCACCAATAAATATTAATGAGCCTCATCCAGAAGCAGCCATGCACGCCCAAGCCATGACATTACCTCCACCATGCTTCACAGATGAGCTTGTGTGCTTCGGATCATAAGCAGTTCCTTTCTTTCTCCACACTTTGGCCTTTCCATCACTGTGGATGATGTGGGATTTGTTGTTATTGGAGCTTAATACATCCAGGTATTTTACCACTAACCCTTCCACAGTCAGGGACATGTACAAAGATTTTGTGGAACTGTGGCAAAATTCTAGATAACCTGTACAAAATCAACCCGACACCCTTAGGATAATATACCAAAAAGATAAACCTTTAATGATTGGTATTCATTGTCCGGCTCTCTAATTGTTCCTAAGTAGAGCACCTACTCTACCCACCTTTTAATTTCTCAGTTAATGAGTGTGAATATGTAAAGTTATTCTCGCCCTCACAGGAAAGAGTACAGTCAGGGGATAAAAGCAGCTTTCACTGACACATTTATTTTGTAAAGCTTTTAAATGCATTTTACAATAAATGTTTTTAATCTGCCCTCAGACCCTTTACTGAGAGACTACTGGGTGTATGAAGGATCTCTGACCACACCACCTTGTAGTGAAAATGTGACCTGGATCCTCTACCGCTACCCTCTCACCATCTCACAGCTACAGGTAAAACATAAATATAAAAAGTCCTTTTAAAGAGGAACTCCACCAATTGTACACGTTTGCCAAGTCAGTGTTTCCAGATGTTGGGGCGAACAACTGCATATGTGGAAAAGGCTTAATGGTTTAAGCCTTTTGTGGGTCCAGAGGGAGCTGTGAGGAAGTCTGATAAATGTGTAGAGTCAACGTTGGCTGGGACCAAAGTATGCAAGTTTTAAAATTAAAAATAATTAGGAGTGAGGAGTTAGAAAGAAGTGAGCTTACCAGACCTCTGTAGCCCGCTCCTCTCTTCTGCTTGAGGCTAGATGTACATACATCGAGCTACTAGCATAACACCAAAATCTCAGACAGAACTGTTGGCACTGTTGCATTGTGGGTGATGTAGGTGCCAGATTTGGACAAGGATGAAGAATGCGGAGAACAACAAACAGAATATCTCTGGTTCTGCTGCATCGTTTACCTGCTGGATCCTTGTTTTTAACTTTCCATCGGGAGTCAGACAGTAATACAGGAGTACTATGCTGAATGTGGAGAACTATTTTAGGTTCCTTCTTCCATGTTAGGAACATTTCAACTATTAAAGGGCTCACTTGTGACTGCATAATTTCTTCCTTTACTTCCTAACCAATATAGTTATTGTAAACTTCCATTAATTTCCGATTTAATTGATTAAATTGCTTTTATTTGCTTAAATCGCTGAACTCATCCTGCTTATATTTGGGACAGGCCTTTAATTCCTTTACGATGCGGGTAAATCTGAATGAATAGTCCTTCGATGCTCATTGTTTCTGTAAAAATGAACAATTCAATTGTGGAGAATCTAACCGATCAATACAATGTCCATACTGACAACGGTTTACACATTAATGTTGGTATGCATGATCTAAGCAGGTTAGAAACAGCTCATGCAGGTATCAACTTTAAACAGTAAGGAAATAAACATGTCAGTGTTGCGTAAAGCTTTTTCCACTGTCCCAAAGTAGCCAAGAAAAGATATCAAATACTAGATACAGATACAAATTTACTGAACAATTTAGTAGTTGTTACCCTGTAACATCTTTGAGGAAGACATCACATCCTGCAGCTGCTTCACAATAATAAATAAATTCCAGTTGTTTACTGAAAATCACTGAATTGCCAAAGCAATGCAAAAAATGCTCCTCTTAGTTTAATCATTGCCAAACACTGAAAATGTGCTTTTCTGCTAACATTGGTGGATAAATAGACCTTTCCCACAGGTGACATTTTTCTTTTGTAATCGTAGTAAAACCACTTGTGTAGCTAACGACATGAATGATGGTTGCATGTGTCAGTTCCAGCGCACTGGTACTGAGCATACTAGCTCACTAGCACACAAAAAATGGAATGAAACCATCATTAATGTAAGTTAAACATTTTTTACAAACATGGCTGGATAGTGTTTGTAAAACACTGGAAGTGTAAACCTCAGTGCTGTCTCAAATATTCTGTGTTTCAAAATTCAGGTGTTTGCATGAAAGAGGTGGTATTATGCTAATTTTCAATCTTATTTAGGGGTTGTACCAGAACAGGTTAATTTTCAATAAACACCACATTTTTTTTAATACTGCACATTGCTGCAGCTCCTCTTTTCACCCTGTGTTGAAGGCTTCATTTTAGCTATGGAGTGATACAGCTTGTCTCTAAATGATCTTTGTTGGGAGTTGCACATGTGCAGTTCCTAGTTAAGGACTACTAGCCAATCAGAAGCAGAGAAGGGCGGGTCAGCGGGTAAACAGCTTGGGTTCAGCTGTACATGTTGCCGACCAGCTTGGCAACATGGACTGGAGCGAGAGTTTCAGAGTGGTGAGTTATTAATCTGTAACAAAAGTATCTTTCATCCATAAAGTTTTAACTGAGCTCTGTCTCTACATCACAGGAACAACTTTCTGTCCACTGACTGCCTGGAGGGTAGCTGGTGTTTGGAAGGGAGAGGAGAGCTGTGTGCTGCAGCTCTAGGTTTTTCCACCGCTGTTTTTGAGGGCGTGTTGGAGTAGCCGCTCGGCGAGTGTTATTTGAGGCGCATTTCCCTTTCATCCCTATGACGTCACAGTGATGAAAGGGAAATGGCAGTGGGACTTTTCTTTCTGTGGGAGATGGGAACTCCCTTTGGGCTGGACTTTGGGCTTTTTCACTTTGCAAACCTGTTACATGCACAAAAAAGATATATAACTCAATAAAGGAGAGGGAAAAAGCCAAAAAGCAGAATACCACCTCTTTAACATTTGTTCGTCTGTTGTAAAACAACTGCATGGATTAGATTAAAAAGTAGTAAAAAGTAGTGAGTTTGATTTGATCAAGGATGCTGAATGCTAACTGTAAACCAGCGCAACAGTAAGGTCATGATTTAAATAACTTTCTTATTTTATATTTATGCAGTCGTCTGACAAATTAAACTAGTAAATATATGGCTGTCACCACCTGCTTTGTCCTTGTTTGAGCTCACTCTGTTTTCTACATAATCAATGGCAGGCCCTTTTGTGGCTTTCATACCACACAGGACCACTAACCTGAGGCTGTCTGACATTCAACATGGTACAGGAAGCCTCAACACCCACTGCCAATCAATGAGCCTGTCACATTGCCTTTAATAGATCTAAACTTTAATTCAGGCTTTGCTCTCTTCAGGCAGGTTATTGTAAAGGATGATGACAGTAATCCTCTGACATTTACTTCAGTCTCTCATCCTTGCTGCCCTCCGGCCCGCCGACCCTTTGAAATACTAACAGAAAAAATTACTTCTGGCCGTCCTCCGGCACTGTCCATACTAATGTGGATGACTTGATAAAACTCCAGCTACAATATCTTTTTACAGGGACAATGCACATTAATCAACTTCACAGTAAATGTCCCAGTGTTAGCCAAAAGGATATTTATCAACTTTTCTCCACTGGCCTAATGTTAGATTAGCCATTAAATCATCAATAAAACAACAATTATCAAGTACAGCAGAAGGAAACAGCCAAAACATGAAGCAGCTGAACAATGGATAAAAAGCTAGGCATTAGGCAATGTACATGCAAAGTAGGATGTCATCATGTATGTTTTAATATGGCCAAGCACACAATACAGGAGCATTAATTTAAAACTAGTATTATACAGTATATCATCATAAATGCTACCTGCTAGCCAAGGCTAATCCTGGGCTGCTGCATCAAATGTTTTTGTGGTTGAGAAACACATATATCACTGACATCATCACTGTCTGATTGGCAATATTTAGACACAAAATGTAATGTTTTTACCTAAAAGGTCAAAAATTGAACCACATCTGGTCGGACACTGAATGACACTTTGACTCAAACGTCACTGTGAACTCAAAATAGGTTTATAGCCGTAATTTAAGAATGGTGTGGGCGATTCCAGATGTCACACATGTGTTGCCTTTGACGACACAATGAGTAATAACTAGCACAGAACAGGCTTTCATCCGTCTCGTCCATTCTGCCTTTCACTTCCTGCACACACACTTCATTCGTTTAGCTTTTGCAGACTTGCAGACACGGATGATTATTACAAAGAAACTAAAGAGTTTCTGTAATTACCAATTTTGACTTCCATGAATGTACATATAGTAGCCTATAATATTGTGAAAACATCATTATTATCAGGTTATTACCCTGTTAATTTCACAACATTACCCTACTGCTATAACAGTTTTATTGTTTGAAGGTTACCACATTGTTACCAAAATGTTATTATAATATTACTAAATAGTTTTGCATTGTTCTATATTTAAGTATGTTCCCCCATTATTACCGTTTGGTTTTGGCACCTTATTACCCTGTTACATGAATTTCAGTCGAATATTGCGCAGATATACACATATTGTTTACACCAACCTATTTTCTGGGTATTACTTTTGTATTAGGTAGTTATTATTCCTTTAGTATAAATTGCCCCACGATTATCATGAAATGGAGAGAAACAATTGCACAGATACATTAGTGTGGACATGGTCTCAGTAGATCCCTCTGACCCCTAAATACAAAGCAATATACTTTAGGGGTCATTGTCACAGGTTACATGTTTATGATTTGTGAGCAGTTCAATTGATGAGTAATAAAATGAATTTAAGCCCCCATCTACTCTCTCTTAACCTGGACTTTGGGGTACAAAGTACAAGAGGTATAATTTTGTCATTAAGTCAGTGAGTCAGCTGTTGACTACAACTTGGGCCCTGTTTTTTTAGCCTGTATTTATTTATATTGTGTTAAATTGGCACCATTAAAAGTATGCTGAATTAGCAGCTAACTGTTTGCAGTGTACCAGTGGATGAAACGACAGCTATCACTGTATTACTGTGATACTGAAGTAAACTTAAGAACACAATGATTATCAGTAATGTTCTGGTGTTATAAAGAGTGTCTTTTTTGTACCTATGACTTCTTAGTAGATTTACAGACATTTATTTGTGATACTAATAATAATAATCTGGGATTGTAAATCCCACTGAATGTAAAACTCGTCCACGAGCTGTGTGTCACAAGCAGCCCAATCAGCAGGCGAAACTACAACAATTAACCTCCTCTTGTTTTTGTAACACTTGCATGCACCTCAAAACGTCTGCATTATTCTTGAGGTTATTTAAAGGCATTCTGGGAAATAAGTAGAAAAACTACAATGCAGTTAACAACACAGACAATAGTATCTACTGTATATATTACAGTATTTGACATATTTGTTAGTACTGCAAGAGTCTACTGCTTTTTCTGTATCATGTTTCAGCCCTGGCTTCACTGCAGAAGTGTTTTAAAACAGCATGTCCTGCTCACCTAGACCACACTCCACCAATATCCGGATATTATTGACTTCTAGAAGACCAAGAGTGTTTGCACAGTGCACATGTGCATGCAAAAAGTGTGTGTGTTTGTGTGTGTGTCATTCAACAGTTGCTATGCCAACAAGTGTTATAGATCCTCCTTCTGTAGGCCGGTGACACTTACAGCACAGGAATTGTCATGTTTGTTTTGGTTGATGTAATCAGCAATAAACTGTACATGTGTAAAAGTGAGAGTAGCTGTAACAGTGCTGATCTTAACATTTTGGTGTAAGCAAGAAAACAACAAAAGGTGTTGTTTCTTGTAGACGACTAGATCTGTCAAATGTTAGTTTTAGTGCTGGGTAAAGAAAGCATGGCAGAAGGGTGTTCAAATTATCTTTAGGCAAATGTTATCTTATTGTAAAATCTGTCATTGTCGTATTCACTGAGTTTCCACAGCTATGAAACCACATTCAACCTCCAACCACATTGCAGCGTTTTTGTTTTATAATGAGATCTTTTGCTACGTTTGCACCTCCCATCCAGACTAAAATGGGGAAAACAAAGACCTAAAACAAAGAAGTTTTAAAAATAAACGCAGGACTTCAGAAATGATGACGCAGACGCTCACGTTTGGCTCTCTGATTGGGTCTTATAAATCATGCAAAACAGAAGTACAATGGTACTGAGTGAGTTATAGTTTTAGTATTTTTATTAAAATATTTTGAACCCTGTAAATAACACTTGTACTGCGCATGTCGCCGTCTTTACTTTGTGACGACTCCCACTCCCAGTTTTCTGCCGCCATAGCCGATTTTAACTCCTGTGTTATCAGAATCAGAATCAGAAATACTTTATTGATCCCCGAGGGGAAATTCTTTTGTTACAATTGCACTTGTCAACGGTAGATAGATAAACAGTATATAAATATAATAGTATAAATATAAAAAATAAAGACAAACATAAAGGTGTGTGGGTGTGTACAATGTTTGCATTATTAAGAATTATTATGGTGAACCAAAAAGACACCACTGACAGAGAGTCCAGCTCCACCCCCACAACGTCACTGGCCTTGCGGATCAGTTTGTTGAGTCTGTTAGCGTTCACTACCCTCAACCTGCTGCCCCAGCATGCAACAGCAAACAAGATAGCACTGGCCACCACAGACTCATAAAACATCCTCAGCATCGTCCTGCAGATGTTGAAGGACCTCAGCCTCCTCAGAAAATCTGTCTCTATTTTCTGAGGGCCTCAGTGTTCTTGGCCCAGTCCAGTTTATTGTCCATGTGCACTCCCAGCTATTTGTAATCCTCCACAATGTCCACAGGGACCCCCTGGATGGAAACAGGGGTCACTGGAGCCTTGGCTCTCCTTAGATCCACAACCAGCTCTTTAGTCTTTGTCACGTTGAGCTGCAGATGGTTCAGTTCACAACATGTGACATAGTCCCTCACCACAGCTCTGTACTCAGCCTCGTCACCCTTGCTGACACATCCAACCACAGCAGAGTCATCAGAAAACTTCTGAGGATGACAGGACTCTGTGTGGTAGGTGATTTCTGTGGTGTAGATGGTGAAGAGGAAGGGAGAGAGGACAGTCCCCTGTGGGGCCCCGGTGTTGCTGACCACGCTGTTTGACACACAGTGTTGCTGGCGCACATACTGTGGTCTGCCAGTCAGGTAGTCAACAATCCAGGACACGAGGGGGGGCATCTACCTGCATCGCTGTCAGCTTCTCACCCAGCAGGGCCGGCCGGATGGTGTTGAAAGCGCCGGAGAAGTCAAAAAACATGACCCTCACAGTGCTCGCTGGCTTGTCCAAGTGGGCTTGGATGCGGAAGGTGGATTGAGCAGGAAGGTGATGGCGTCCTCAACTCCCAGTCGGGGCTGGTAGGCGAACTGTGGTGGGTCCAGAGAAGGGCTGACCATGGGCCGCAGCTGATCCAGAGCCAGTCTCTCCAGCGTCTTCATGATGTGGGAGGTCAGTGCCACAGGTCTGTAGTCCTTGGAGTCACTGGGACGTGGCGTCTTTGGCACTCATCTGTCTTCTCACCTGGTCAGCAATGAGGCACACAGATGTTACATGTGGGGGAGGAGGAGTCATCAGGCTGGTGAGAGCTGTTAACCTGAGAGCTGTATGCATCCTTAATGTTAACATACAGCAGGTCCAGGGTCCTCTCCTCTCTAGTATGGCAGCTGGCAGTTACAGTTACATTCAGTTACAGTACCAGCTCATTATTGGTCCATGCAAAATAAAATCTGGTGTGGTTCTTCGTCTGTGGTATTACTTTATTCTTTCGCCAAATCATCTGTAGCTACTGAATAGACCATCTGCTGCGGCCCGTGCATGCCCAGTATACGTGAACGGCCATGAGATGTGTGTTTTTAGTCGTTTTAGTATAGACGGAGATCAACTCTGATACGCAGCTAAAACGCTGGTGTGGACGGAGATCGTATTCTTTTAAATTCTCCTACTAAAATGGAGTAGTGTGGATGGGGCCTCACTATCATTATGTCATTACAGGGTATTTCTCTACCATTAGGATTACCACGTGGATCTCAGTCTTCTAAACTTTGCCCGGCCAGGTTACTTTTACTCAGCGCTGAAAGCTTTATCACCTGAATATTTAACAGCCAGAGAATATCCTGAGTGTAGAGCAAATATTTGAAATCAAATGGAGCACTTGAATCATTCTGTGTATATATAGAAAGCCAAAGGGCCAAACATCGTGTTTAACCATGCTGTCTTCTAACGTAGGGACCAGAGTGTATAAAAACACTGCAAAAAAGTCACACTTTCCCACTCTGCCAAGAATAAAATTCAGAGGGTGCACAGGATGCTTGAAGTTATTGGGGATCCTTTTGTCATGCAAACTAAAGATAGTGGATCAGCCACTTCAGCCTAAGAATATCACTACTGACTGGCTACTGATTGGTCAAAACTTTTATGTGTGGTGCCTTGAGATGTGGAGCTGTGACCTACATCAGGCTCTAAAATTAAATCTCTTCTGTCTGCAGATTGAGGAGTTTCGGAGGCTGCGGTCCCATGTTAAAGGGGCGGAGCTGCTGGAAGGGAATGATGGGTTGCTGGGGGACAACTTCCGTCCCACTCAGCCGCTCAGTGACCGGACTGTTCGTGCTGCCTTCCAGTGACTCTCATTTCCCACTGCCAACTCAGAAAAACTATGGGGCCTGTAGATTCAAGTATAGAAGGTAACAGTGTTACAGTTAGTTCTGCTCTGCCCTGTTTTAATACACAGTGTAATCCATATGGCTGGAGTAGCTGCAGCCCACTTAAATGAAAAGGTATTGTGCTGAAGTATACCATTTGCAAATCATTTATTAGCGGATGTGATAATAGATCTAAAGTAGTAGTAATTGATTGACTCCTTGAATATGCACTCTCTTTTAAGCTCTGGTTGGGTCTCCACCTACTCCTGAGGTAAATAAGTGGCTCTTTAGCTGATAAATGCTCCACTGTGTTCACCAGTTAGTCACACGTTGGTTTATCAGAGTATTTACACTGAAAACAGCTGTCTGCTGCTGTGGGAAACTGCAGAGTGAGGAAATACTTCTCTTTGTGTTCGTCATTATTACTGACAAAGGCTACTAAAGTACGGTACCCACCCAAGCACTGCCTGTTCACCCTGCTGCCTTCTGGGAAGAGATATAAAAGTTTCTGCTGCCACACCACCAGACTTCAGAGCAGCTTTCCCCCCCAAGCTATCAGACTCTTAAACTCTAATTCATCCTCAGCACTGCTCCATTGATGATAGTTTATTTCTGTTTACCATTTTTCATAATTGCTTCTACATTAATGTATATTGTCTGCTATGTAGCAGAAGGGAGTTACAAAACTCAATTTCACTATATAACCTGTTATATTGTGACAAAATAAATCTACCTACCTACCAATTGTAAGTTGCTTTGGATAAAAGTGTCAGCTAAATGATTAAATGTAAAATTGAATCCACAGTTAATATAAAACACTGACTAGTGCAGCTTTAATTTAAGTAAAATAAATGCTTAAATTAATAAAAACATTTGCTGAACTTCACACCAAACACTACTCTCTGTATTTTTAGTTAGTTCACCACATTTCCTCACAAGAGACAGACTTGTAATAGAACTAGGCATGCTGTCCCTGAGGTATTTTGGGTCCCCTGAAACTACAGTGTAATGGATCAAGCCCTGCAAGAACTAACCCAATTCAGTTTCTAAACTTGGACTAGCCTATATACAGTATGTAGTGTATGGAGGGACCCCAGATTTAGCTCAGTAGCACTGTGGCAGGAGGACAGAGCAGAACATTTGGAGCTCAGAGGGTGTGAGGAGGGTAAAAAAAATACAGAGGAGACTTTTATACTTTGAACTAATGAGGGCACAGGACCTTGAGTTTAGGGATATTAAATCTTAATGTATCTTAAAAGTTTATTTCTCGATGTCAGCATCAAAAACAGACGAGGAATCAGTTAGCCTTGATATGCAACATAATGTCAGGGACAAGAGGAACATCAGTGGACAGTTATCTCATACTATAATACTATACGTCATATCTGTGTCACTCCACATGTAGCAGTTGACTTCAAAAAGTAATTTTCTACATTCAGTTTCATATCTTCTTTCTTTAAAGGGGTACTTAGCAGTTAGCATTGCACTTCAAAAATGTTGACAGACAAAGAGACAAATGGAAAAAAAAGTGTTGCCAAAATCAAAGCAGCAGAAGCAGAGATGTCCTGACTTTTAATCCCTAGTATGGGTCAAGCTCTAAAACTGCTGGACCCTCCCTTCCTGCATTTCCCATAAATCAACTCATTTGTATCTTTTGTCCCAGTTTTACAACAAACACACCTGTTTGATTTTGTCATCATTTTCCTCCCTCAAAATTTTTAAAACTTTCTCCAGAGCCGAAGAGGTCAATCATTAACTCTTGAGCGACCCCAGCACTCCCATATGCAGCCATACTGAAAGAAGCTCAGCTAACCATTTTTTACCTAAACAAAACACAGGTCAAACACCATGCAACCAAGCAAAACGCATTCTCTGTCTGAAAACGGTGCATGCCCGCAGTTAGAAAACTCCTTATATTTCTAACGTCACTCGATACCATCTTAGAATAACGCATTGCATGGTGAAGGAACAGCAGCGCAATGTTCCATTCGAACACACAGTCACCATCTTGTGGCTGACTCATAGTACTGATACCAGTGAGCCTTATTCTGTTCCCCTGACTGAGATCAATCTTTCGATACCCCCACACATAACTGCATGCATGGAGCTCTTTAGACACACAAATATTCATTGTGTTTATAAATCATTCAATGTTTTGGGGAGATTTATGTTATTTGTAACATGGCTACATGGAAATAAATAGTTCTTTGAAGTAAACCTCCCAGTAACCAGTCAACATGTAAATAGTAATCATGGCCAAAACATGGAGACAGCCTGAGTATATCTTTATAAAGTGTATCATAAATGCTGTATTTTAGTGTCTTCTCATCAAATTTACAGTTACAGTAGTATTCAAAGAGTAGGAGAAGACATTCAGTTGCATTATTATCTGTGGGATGTTTTTTATAATGGTGATATTGCCTTTAAAATTTAGATTTTATACTAGAGGAGGATGACAATCTCATATTTTCCTTTACTGCATCTTGATTTACTCTGGAATGGTAACAGAAATAAGTTTACTTACAATGATATCACCTAGCTTCTGACCTGTCAAAGGAGACCAGAAACATGCATGCAGGCCTAATGATTAAGGAGGTATATCTGATTAATTTGAGTATGTTGTTTTAGGCTTTTTTTCCTGGGGATCGGACTAGTGTTTTAAAAAACACCGTTCAAGTGTACTCCTCATGACTTGTAAACTGAACTTCATTTGTAAAATCTCACCTTTAAATAAATGACCCATTTGCTGAGAAGAGTAGTAACCTCACTGCAAACTTTACAATGTCAAGCATAGAAGGAAAAACCCTGCAAGTGGGTGTTTTCATGTAGTCATGGTATTTTAGGACTCATGATCACATAATGACTAATACAGTTTAATATTTGAAATGATTAAATGAATGAATCATTTCCATTTCACTGAATACAATTATTTCTTGCAGTTACATCAAACTGACAACTCCCAAAGATTGTTTACCCTCTGAAGGTTGAATTGAGTGGCACAGAAGTTTTAGAATTTACTTATTAGAATTATTCAAGAATAGCAGGCTGACAGTTTTCATTACTCTGTGACACCACTAACTGAAGATCTGAACTGACTTCAGTGTAGTTCACATACAAGGGACAGCGAGATGGGAGTAAGAGGAAGGATACATGAAGGAGGGAAAACAGAGCGGGGGAAGAAGTGTGTTGAAGGGAGGGAGAATGAGGGGTACTGTGGCGAAAGGAGGTGGGAATGCCAGAGGGATGAAATAGGAGTAGACAGAGGGAGGGCAGGGAAAAAGAGATAAAAAAAAACAAAGGACTATTGTTTACAGTGTAAACGGATACTGATCTGGTCCCACTAGCACAGACCCACCTGAGACAAGACCTATGAACCAGAGAGAGTGGTAGAGAAGTAAAAGAGTAGAGGATGCTGGGTGGAGGTCACTCAGAAAACTAGCATTAAAGAAGAGTGACATTTAGTATTTGTTAAAAACTGGTGCCAGAACGGTCACATCTAATCTGGCTATCACCAGCTGAAAAAGAGCACCTGTTGTTGTGGAAAAGTATTATCCTGTCTTGCAGCCTTCTTTGTCCAGAAACAAGAAGAGTCCACAGATATGCAGAGTGGCGCTTGGAGCTAATTTAAAATATTAGCATGCTAACATGCTCACAGTACTAATATGCTGATGCTAAGCAAGTATATTGTTTATCATGTTCACCATCTTAGTTTAGTGTGTTAGCATGATAGCATATGCTAATTATCTGTACACACAAAGTATAGCTGAGGCTGATGGGAATGCTTTTAGTTTTGCATGTAATTGGTCATAAACCAGTATTAAGTATTGGATAAACTATCGTTTTGACTCGATGGTGGCGCTAGTTGTAACGTTTAGGGGTCTGTCATGGTTTCGAGATTTTGTTATTTCCTGTTTTATTTTGAAAGTATACTTCCTCATGAGTCTCTGACTTTACTTCCTTTCTTTGTGTGTTTTCCCACCTATTTGATTGTCTGCCCTGCCCTAATTAGTTTCACCTGTGTTTAGTTATCCTCCCCTTACTTGTATATTTAAGTCTGTGTGCTCTCCTTGTTGGTAAATCGTCTTTGTTTCAAGCCTGTCTTCAGTGTTTTCCTGTGTTTTGAGCTTTTGCCTGTTTGGGATTGTTTGCTTGTGCCCTTCTGGATTTGTTTGCTTTTGCTTTTCTTTTAATCTTGCCTCACAGTCTTGTAAGCCTGTACACCTTTTGTTTGACTATTAAAACCTTAAAACTGAACCAGTTCTGCCTTTGTGTCTGCATTTGGGCCTAAATCCCCTGTGTTCCTGTGTCTATGCTTGAAGTGATTGTGATAAGATCATGAAATTTTTTTTACAATTCATCCTAAATTAATGGCAATCCATCCAATAAGATATTTTACTAGAAGCTAAAATCAGGAGATTATCAAATTCAATTCTCTAGGGATTATGGGTCTGTAAGTGTGTCTGTTTAAGACCCTTTTCAGCATTTTCTTACCTCTCTGCCATGTAGACATTTGGCTAAATCTTGTATTTATTATGTTTTTTTTCATGTCCACCTCAGTGGATGACATGAGACAATGTAAAATTGTCTTAGGATTTTCAGGATTTTCAAAATTTATGGTTGTTTTAACAATGTATGTGTTAATGATACACATAGGTAGGTTTAGGTGTAATAGTTAGTTTTTTACTTTTATTTCAAATTATCTGTACAGTAAGAAGTCCTGAAGCTTTTATTACAGGCAGTGGCATAGCCCCATACATACACAGCCTTAGTGGGCCCCCTTTCTCCTTTATACATCTTCTGTCCAGTGGTGGATGAAGTACACAAATCCCCATAAAGAAAGACGCATTGCACATTTACGCACGAGGTACAACATCATTGATTATTTGAATCTCCCGACACTCTGCCAGGATCGGTCAGGATGAACTGACAGCAGCCTCTCTGATCATTAAAGTAATTCGTTAAAACACAAACACATAACCTATAATCTATTTATGCATGATTCATCAGGGGAGCTACTGAGGACCCCATAGTTTGTACCCTGACTACAATCTTGACCATCGGATTCCCGCAACAGGAAATGACGTTACTCTTTTACTCATTGATTTGTTTTCGTGGGGCCGAAATCTTTCTCGGTGTTGGTGAATTATTAAAAAAACAACAAAGCACTTAATTTCTGTTAAAATGCTTTGTAACCCGCATTACTGAGATTGTAACAGGTAGGTATTACCGATTTGTCTTTTGTAATGCATTATATTACTGCGTTACAACATAAAGCAATACATTACTGTAACTGCATTACTTTTGTAACGCGTTACTCCTAATACTGTACATCACATCAGGATTCTCTTCTTCTCTTCTTTTTATCTGATCCGTGTTTCCTCTTTCTTGACAGGAGAGAAGAAAGCAGTGGTGTGGAGAGTGGAATAGAGGGAGAGATGGAAAGTTGATTTGGTTGTAGATCAGCTGCAGACTGACGGTGGACAAAGAAACTATTGATCTCCCAGCTTTGTTTGTGTGTGTGTGTTCAGGTTTCTCATTCTTACTGTATATGTGTAAGTGAGTGTAACGTCCTCCCTGTGCCTATGTGTGTGCTCTAGGTACATCTTGAGTGTTGTTGTGGTAATCTACGAGTATGTGTTTCCTGATTAGAGGTTAGGGGGATTCACAACTTGTCAGTCTCTGCAACAAGGGGAAACATAAACCATGTGATGTACCTGGACACACACACACACATCCTTGTACTTCTGTAGCTGTGAGGACCCTCATTAACATAATGTGTTCCCCCGACCCTTACCCTAACCTTAACCATCACAACTAAAACGCCAACCCTAACCCCAAACTAAACATAATCCTACCCTAACCCTTGACTTGTAACACAACAGTGTTGAAACGCCACACCTGTTTCGGCATGCCGACTGTGGCTTTTCACACAGACGTATTTCGGCTGTTGTTTCTACCAACGTTCCCGGCTCAGAGGAGGATCTAATCTGAGCCTCTTTTTCCAGCTCCGTACCTTTCATACAGCGTGGCGAGCTGGCCTATTGCTGTAATAGTCAAATAGCCAAAAAATAAGTCAGTATGAAAGTGCCTCAAGTCTAAACTTTCAAACAGCCCTTTGAAGTTGTGAGGACCAGCCAAAATGTCCTTACTTTCCAAGAATGTCCTCACTGTGTTGGTTAAAATCTTGTTCCAGTCCTCACACACACACACACACACACACACACACACACATACACACACAAACCCTAACCCTCACCTTTACCTAACTTTAACCTGAACCCTAAAACCACATCTTAGCCCTCAAAATGTCGTCTCTACCTGACCTCAATTTTCCTCACGGTGACACGAGTCCCCATCAGTTAGTGTGAAGTCAGGTTTAAGTCCTCACTGAGATATAAGAACATGAAACACACACACATTAAAGAACATACTGTACCGCCGCAAGACACAGTTTGATTAAAAATACACCCATGTGCTCTGTGTGTGTACTGTGCTGCATTTTTCGCATACACCTGAGGTTGAGTGTTCTGCGGTAGGCCATGTCTGACAAGACAACTACTTTTTTTAGCACAGTTGCCGTGCCTCTGCTTTATTTTCCTAAATCTCTGTCATTACTACATCCTCATGTTTTGTTTAGTTAGCAAGTAAATCCTGCTGGGTTTAATCAGCTCGTCCTCTCAGAACTCACAGAACACAGAACAGAATTAAAGTGCATGAAATGGTTTAATATTAACATTTTAATGGGTATGTTGAGGCTGTGTAGGTTATATTCTGTGTGGTTCAGCAGTGTGTGAGCGCTCCACGCAGGGACATCTGACATGAGCTGCTGCTTTAACCTCGTCCACATCTTCATCTCACCGTACACTCAACAGATATTTAGTTAGCCAAACTCACATTACATGTACTTTGTATAATGCCAAACGCTCAAATAATCATTCTTAACCCCTCCCTGCTTTAGACAGTCAAATATCAAACTTACAGAATTGTTTTGCTGCTTTAGTGTCCACAAACCTTAAATGTGATTTTATGTGTTGGTTGCTATTTTCCTGACATTTTTCTGTTAATAGTGTTAGTATTCTCTGTGTCAATACAGGTTTGGTATCCTGTCCTTGTCTAAAGCAGCTTTAACCCCCATAAACATCACATTTACATTTAGCTGACACTTTCATCCAAAGCGACTTACAATTGCTATACATGTCAGAGGTCGAATACTCTGGAGCAACTAGGGGTCTTGCTCAGGGACATGGATGTGTCAAAGTGGGAATCGAACCCAGGTCTCCCACACCAAAGACAAGCATTTTTTCTATGCGCCATCACCACCCCACATTAGTGGAATACTACTTTCAGAACTGTTTTAGAAAGCAGGGAGGGTTACAAGCGCAGCTTTTATGTGTATGTTTATATTACATTGATTCAAAATGTGATATCTTATGTTATCTAGGAAAAATGCATTTTAATGCAAGCTGTAAATGTGGGCAGAAACCATTGGGATCAGAAAGCAGTTGGATCAGCATCTGGAGGTGGTCAGGCTTGTATTGTGATCTCAGCCCGGTGTAAATGCAGTCAAAGGTCACCTTTCCTGCCAAGTCAAGCGAGCCTTGCAAAAGTTACAAGCAGTAGCAGTAGCTAGCAAGTCTTCCCTTGAGTTAGGATGTGCCATGTCTGTTGACAAGGCCTAAGCATACTGATCCCTGATCATAAAACACGAACGAAATAACAAGAACACCTTTTAATACCAGGTGTAAAATTGAGAAGACCAATTGAGTGGATGTCATAATCCAGATAACATATAGATCACATGTTATTACCAGGTGTAACTGGGGCCTGTGTGTCTGTGTGTGTACTCTTTAAAGGTACTGTGTTTGACAAACCATGCTGAAATAAACTGTGAGAATTGATGACTGTTACTGTAAAGCAACAATAAACTACAACACTGACTCACTAAAACACTAAATTGAAATGGTGATATTTTTTTCCTACTTCGAACCAAGAGAAACATGAACACTAACCAGTCACTGTTATTAAACGATAAGTCTGGTGATATTATACTATTTTATATTTTATTTTATATTTTCTTACAGTACACATATCTAGAATATACACTCACTGGCCACTTTGTTAGGTATACCTGTTCAATTGCTTGTTAACACAAATAGCTAATCAGCCAATCCAGTGGCAGCAACTCAATGGCATGTAGACGTGGTCAAGACAACTTGCTGAAGTTCAAACGGAGCATCATGTGGCATGGTTGTTGGTGCCAGAAGGGCCGGTCTGAGTATTTCAGAAACTGCTGATCTACTACGATTTACACACACAACCATCTCTAGGGTTTACAGAAAATGGTACGAAAAGGAGAAAATATCCAGTGAGCGGCAGTTGTGTGGACCAAAAAGCCTCTTTGATGTCAGAGGTCATGGGAGAATGGGCAGACTGGTTCCAGATGACAGAAAGGCAACAATAACTCAAATAAAAAACTCGTTACAACCAATGCAGAATACCATCTCTGAATGCACAACACGTCCAACTTTGAAGCAGATGGGCTACAGCAGCAGAAGACCACACCGGGTGCCACTCCTGTCAGCTAATAACAGGAAATTGACGCTACAATTCACACAGCCTCACTGGACAGTAGAAGATGAGTCTCGATTTCAGCTGCAGTATTCAGATGGTTGGGTCAGAATTTGGAATAAACAACATGAAAGCATTAATCCATCCTGCCTTGGATCAGCAGTTCAGGCTGGTGGTGTTGGTGTAATGGTGTGGGGGATATTTTCTTGGCACTGAGCATCGTTTAAACGCAACAACCTACCTGATTATTGTTGCTGACCATGTCCATCCCTTTGTGACCACATTGCTACTTCCAGCAGGATTACGTACCATGTCACATAGCTCAAATCATCTCAAACTGTTTTTTTGAACATGACAATGAGTTCACTGCACTCCAGTGGCTTCCACAGTCACCAGATCTCAATCAAACAGAGCACCTTTGGGATGTGGTGGAATGGGAGATTTGCACGATGGATGTGCAGCCGACATATCTGCAGTAACTGCGTGATGCTATCATGTCAATATGGACCAAAGTCTCTGAGGAATGTATTCCAACACCTTGTTGAAAGTATGCCGCAAAGAATTAAGGCAGTTCTGAAGGCAACTTACAACTTACTAGTGAGGTGTACCCAATAAAGTGGCCAGTGAGTGTACATTCTTACAGTAAATCAACCCCAAAGACCCAAACCAACAAAGCAAGTATTGTGTGTGTATACAAAACAACAACAACACTATAATGTTGCCCAAACAATGGCCAGTAGCACTACTTGAACATTAATAGTGCCTTCCTTTCCTTCGGGTCTGCAAATCTCTCAGTCACATGCTTCTAATGACAGCATGGTCAATGCATTCAGCCTCTCCTGGATCATAGTGTCCCTGAAAAGTGTTTAAATTCTTTTCAAGGTTGAGAAGCACCTCTCTGCACCTTGTGGGTGTGGTGACAGACTCTTAAAAGTCTTCTTCTAGAGTACTCTCCTTAAACAACTGGAGGAGGTCCACAGCACTTTGGTACTGACATGGTGGTATATGAAGGAGAAGCATACCCTGATGTGTACCTGTAAGGTATCACAGACCTACAGAGAGAAGTAAAAAAAAATTGTAGTGAGAGACAAAATGCCCATTTCACCTACATCACTTAAAGTCACCAAGAAGCAACATTTAAATTTCTAAATATGAAAGAACTAAGGTCATTTCAACTGCCGCTGTTGCATTGATAAAAAGAGTGGGACAATTTTAGTTTACTAGTTTATAGACCCTGCTGCTGCCATCTGCTGGACAAAATGTGAATCTGTGAATGCCAAAGATTATTATTTAAAGGGATAGTTATTGTAATACACTTGTTAAGTTCAGACAATATTTACTCACAGTTTGCTATAGCTCTCTGTTTGGTGTGTGCTCCAAAAGGAAATTTGGTTTTCCTACACAGCCCTGGCTTTGATAATGAAAACACAAAGAATGTGGAGTGGGCACTGCCACACAACATTGTTCCAGCCAATAAGCAACAAGCAAAGCGCTGGTGGGAGAGAGAGTTCTATACACCGGCACATTTGAATGTGTTAAACTCCAGGCACTGTGAAGATGGAGAGATAGCCGAATAAACAGCCAAAGAGTAAAAGGTATGATGGTATAAACAGAGAAGAAAGTTAAATGACCAGGCAATGATCAGGCCTCCCTCTAAAGTCACTTTGGCAAATAAATATTCATGTGGCGCAATGAGTGCATGGACAGAGTGCGCGCAGGTATGCAGGTAGGCAGTTCAATAGAGATGCAGTAGTGTGTCTGTGCAGAGAAGAAATGAAATATAATTCTAAATATGATTACATACTGTTATTATTATTAATCATCCTGACCTCGTTTGTGTACTTAAGTCTGTGTGTTCCCCTTGTTTGTTGTTAGTTTATCTACATCTCTAGTCAAGTATATCTGCCTGCCTCCTGTGCCTGTGGAATAGGATTTATTTTGGATTTTGGATATTTGCCTGCACCCTTTAGATTTGTTTGCCTTGTGTTTTTGACCATTGCCTGCCTCTAGTATCTATGAACTTGTTCATCCTTTTTGTTTAATTTTTAATAAATTTACAACCTGCTGAACTCGCTCTGCCTGGTGCCATAGACTCTTGTGATGGCGCTTGGCAAATGTGACAGTTACTACGAACATGGAAACAGAAAAACTTGGGGATTTGCTTTATGACCTGGTCATAATATGCTGCTAAACATAGTTCCCAACAAATGTACTATTTCCTCCTGTTTGAGTTAAGTTCTCTAAAAACTACAGTGACCAGCTGAAATTACTAAAAAAAGAAAGAAATGATCTATTTGTGAAGTTGACAGGGTAGGAAATTCAGAACGTATTGAGAACTGAGGACTTATACATTGTTGGTTTGGTCTTTTCGTGGAATAAATTGAAAATGAAAAGTATAGAATAACACCCGTCTTCTCCTTTAAGGATTTTTTAGAGAATTAGCTGATTAACATATTCCTTTCAGTCAGCTGTCAGCACCTTGGGCTTAATCACATATTGACACACAGCCAAATTGTGGTAGATATATCAAGGTGCGGTTGTTTGGTGTCAGGATGACAGGCTGGTTAACTCTGTTTAGTCTACTGTGACAAAGCTAGTGTCTCATTTGTTGGTATTAGATGTACTCTGCTCTGTTTTGCTTGAAAAGAGGATTCAGGGGTAAGACAGGCAGGCAGGTCTCAGGGCTTCACACAAAATAATACTTAATTTATAGAGATATGAGCCTCATATTCTCCTACACTCTGTGCATGTGCAGGTCACATCCAGTGTGAGCAACTTTGGAGAATTTCACTGATCTGACTGAGCTGTGCAGCAGAGCTAGTAAAGTATAATGTAATAAACAGAATGACTGTCCTCATCAAACATGGCTGGATGTAATGATGTGCCTTTCCAAAAATATCAGGAAAATAGATTTTGAAGGGAGATTGGCCTGAAGATGATCTATAAACCCAGCAACATGTTATAGTCAGTATCTATCAAGAGTGCACCCATCAGTATCAAACATACTAAGATAAGACTTTCCTTATTTATTTACAATTTATCCCCCAGCAGCACATAGTCAGGCTAAGACAGATAAAGAAGTTTGAATTAAATCAACTATACATATAAAATAATTATTGTTACATACGTATAGTATACATACTACACACACACTATACAATAACTATGCAATTCTGGTGATAAGACCTATATATAATAGACATTAAGAGAATACTATTATATTGCACATGATATAAATAAAAAATACATTTAAATAAATCAAATGCATATAATCATGATAATATAGTAATAATATAGTATTGTTATATAATGTGTGGTATAATGAAATGTAAAATAGTGTTATTAACACTGGTACACATCATGTAATACAATAAGTATTATAAGTATCACTTTATGATGGGTCATGATGAGTGATGTTCTGAAACTGACCCACATCAAAGCTCATCTCTCCACACTTGTGAAGACTTGAAAGTTGGATTAAAGGATCACTGTGTAACTATGCTGTCCTCTGCTGTTAGAAAGAGGCATCACAACACACACACACACATTAGCACACCTTGGATTTCAGGAAAAAACAGGTGGTAACATTTTATCTTTTAGAAGTTTAACGCAAGTTTAAGTTTAAGTTGTCTCTATGTTTTTTTAACGTCAGTCATTTCTGTTTGACTTTTAAAGATGTACACTGTGAGTTCACCACGAAAAAATATTTCTGTTACACAGTATGTCCCATAAATACTGAGTTAGCCAAAGTAACTGGAGGTGAACTTACTGCATCTCTGGCACTATTATTGTTTATGACATCTGGGGGGTCCTGGAGATCTCAACATCCCTGCATCGACTGCAGCCAGACACCTTGTTGCATGTCATTCCTCCTGTCTGTTCATGTCTTGACCATCATACGGTCCCATGAAGGTAAAATTCCCATAAAGAATCTTTAAAAAAAAGACGATCAAATTGGAAACTTTGGAAACTGTGAGCTCTGCCAGTACAACTAAAATAAGTCAGTTCCAGAAATAAAGTTTTATTTATTTTACGTTTTATCTCAATATATGAAAGCGATTCTCCACTGATTTTACTCATGACAATTATTTTAGTCACCATGAGGATTACTGCTCAGCCTTTGAAAACAGTTGTATGCTATGTTAGGAGCTTTATTATATTGCAATGCTTAAAGTTTAAAGCATTATCCCGTATATTCACCATTTTTAACATTTTGGTTGTGTTTCCCTTTATTCACAACAAACATTTAGTTTTTTTGCTTTTCTTCTCCTTATGAACCAAAGCCAGATCCTCCTGCATCACAAGTGCATCTCAGAAAATCTGAATATTGTGGAAAAGTTCATTTTTAAGTCAAGTAATTTAAGGCTTCCTTTGCACAAATCACTG